CAAAGTTGGTGCTCTGGAAGCTTTCTTTCGAAAAACCAAAATAAGTGGTTTTATCAAGCCTTTACGAAGACATACATACGCGTATTTCGGGGGTCGTTTGCCTTTTGGCAGGAAGAAACAGCAGTTCATCACTGCAGCAATTGCCCTGATTCACTGACCTCTCCCTTCCGGATCACAGACAATAGCTGAGTGAAACAATCATCACAACAATTCACCGACCTCTGCCTTCAAAGATAACTACTTTGTCCAACCCCAAATGCCCCAAAGAAACAACTCGCGTGTTTGGTGGTTTGGCGTGGCTCAGCCGGCTCCCGTCTCAAGTCCTAGCCTTCGGGGCTCTCGATCCCTCGAGGCCCCGTCGCGTTGTACTGGCCCTCCAGGAATTTCGCGAGGCCCTCACCGAGAAAAAGCGCTGGGGATCGATGGTCTACGGCGCCGACCGCGTTGCAGGGGCAAAGCAAGAAGAACACAGCGGTTCATGAAAAAGCGGGCTTTGCTCGGGTTTGAAGCACCTCACAACCAAATAACTGTTTAGGCCCTCATAGTACTTGGGGGACCAACACTTTTTCTCATAAAGTGGTGTTAGCAGCAAGCTCCGAAAACTCCCCCAAACCTGCAAGAACTTTTTAAAAGGTTCGGGAAAGTGACCCAAGCCTTCGGGGAGATCCTGTTGCCCTCATTTCACGTGAGAGGAACAAACTGCCACTCTTAGGGAGGTATGTCTTCTCTTATCCTAAGGCGGCTTTTGAAAATCACCACTGGGGTCTGGGCCGGCGGGATTGAAAGCCGCAAGGTTTTCTGTTGCCATCCTCCGCAAATCTCTTGCAGGGCCCTAATGGACCTCATCTGAATTCTCAACTGTCTAAACCTGGACCAGACAGGGATCTCTCAAGTCCGCCCCTGCAATCGCGCAATTCGGGACTGCGGCTGGGGCAGCGGCTGCTCAGTAACGTTCAAAAAAAACCTCCGGCAAAGGGCGACCCCCTTTAACAACGGCTGGGGGAGCTCGATCACTACTTGCCGGCGCCCATCTTTTTTCCTCAACTGGGCACAGGCCTGGGACGGGTGTTTCTGTGTTTCCTCAGAGAGGGCAGGTGGCATGAGAACGAGTTTGCCTTTTCCCTCCTTACCAATCTAAGAAGGGCGCCCAATGTTCAAATGAAAGCCAATTGTATGAACGAAACTATCCAGTCAAACGGAAGGCTTCAGGCCGGAGAACTCAACAACACAAGTGGCAAACCCTTGCAGTCTCATCGTCATCTTCATGCAGCCGGGCGCAAACCAAAGCCGGTAAGGTTGCGATCTAATGTGCCCCGACGTGCTGCCCAAAGGGTTGGCTGAAGCACCCTTGTTCCTAGTTGGTCGATTTCATTGCCGCAAAGTGCTATCCCATGAAATAAGAAACCCCTAAGCAAGGAACGTTCATCATCGCTGGAGTCTCTCGTTTTGCATTGGCGAGCACGTTGCAATTTGTTCGGTGTTGCTTCCAAATAAAAAGGGACGCTCCTCAATCGTTCTTCCTCAGCTTGCGCCCCCGACCAAAACAAAATGCTAGTGATCTTAAACACTGTTTGGCGAAGCTTTGACGCAACAAGAATCTTAATTTGTCTGTACCTGGCTCGAAAGACCCAGCCAAACCATGGTGTGGCATGTCCCGCGCGCGCCTGCAGAAATCTCGGATGGCCCAGCATGTAGGCTCCGTTGACCTCCAACATGCAGCTCAATGCGAAAATAAGGTGGCGTTTGCGCAAGTGAGTCCTCTTCAAAACAAAAGGGGTCTGCCCAAACTTATGGCAAAGAACTAAAAGGGCTTCACTTACCCGGAGTTTGATTGTGGCACAAGCGAAACTTTCTAGTCAAGAAAGAAACACTTACCTCCCAAAGAGTGAAGAAGTGACAAATTGAGCCAAGGAGCATCTAAGGTTTGAGGGTGACTTGTATTTCACCAGCCGAATATAATGGATCCCGGTGAAAGGATCATCCATCATGGGAAAGGTCGCCAGCACCTTTGTCAAGATTTGGGAAGACATTGGTTCGGGGCCCTGTTTTTGTTGGAAAATTGGCTGGGGCCTCAATGTCCGCCTCTAACTAACAACAGGCTACCATCTTTCTCAATGTGAAGCCACTGTCAAGATAAGTTGCCGTACAGGGCAGGAGATCATAGGCAAGTCCCCTCATGTTGCGTAAAACTCATACCCCACGTCCCAGGCGAGACCAACGGGAAAAAAGTGTTCGAAGCTGGTGACTTTAAAAGGCCATGACTAAGGCGTTCAGGGTGAAATAGGCGATAGCCGCCCCCCGTTCGCCCGGCGAGATGCCACGCCTTGTCTCCATAATTCAGTGTCTCTTCTGACATCTCAATGCCTGGCAGAAGAAGAGGAAAAAAAACGCGCCCGCCGCCAATCCGACTCCGAGCTGCCCACTGAAAACGCCAAGAATACGTTGGGTGCTCAGCCAAGTTGGTAGTGAAAGTAGATGGCGCAACTCCCCTCATGGGCAAGTCCAGAGGATGGCTAAACCAAGAGGGAAATGCCCGGGAAGTTGACTTTGATACTCCACGCAGCCCACATCATTCGCCCATTTGCTCAGTTTGTGCCATCTGCATGAATGATGCCCCTGGGTGGGCATGCTCATGCAAGTGCGGAATGAACCTTCCAGAAATGCGAAAACTCCACGGTTCTGCTCCCTAAGGCCCTTAGAGGTCAAAACCCTAAGGATCCATGGCCCCGGATGTCATAACTTGCTGGTGCTCAGTAGTTATGGAATGAGGGAATGAACCCAGGCTTCGGTCCCCTTAAAGCATACCACCAGTTGGATGGTTTCTATTCGAGTTTTAATTCCATAACTCTCATTCCATTCCAATTCTCATTCCCATCTCTCGCACCGAATAAGCATCCCAGAAGCCTCCCCCGTCCACCAAACCCAAAACCCCCGCGGGGGAATGCCACCTTTCTTGAAGCTCTCCATGAGCGCTGCTCTGAAGTCCGGCTGGGTCAACAGCTCGGTGGTCGGCCTCACAGCTCATGCCTGTCAAGAGAGGGTACTCCCAGAAAGGAACCCTGGCAAATGGCTAAACAAGGACTAAGACCTGCGTGTTTTTAGTTGGTTTCATTTTGCCCATAGCCAAATGTTCTTTCGCTCGCTTCAAGTCAACCAAAAGGTGGTGTTTAAAGCCAGAAGGGGGAATATAGGGAACTCTAGGCTTCAAGAAATGTCGGGAGCTCAATCGTGTGAAGTGCCCAGGGGCAACTCTCAGGATTATCCTGGCACGAGACAGACACTCCCATTTTTGCATCCAGACGGGGGGGGGGGTCTGAGGCAAGAGCTGGTTGGCTTCCTCACCATGTAGCACTTGCCCCGTGACCCATTCTCAGATTCTGGCCCATAATACACCTGAAGAATCAAGTGGGCGAATCGTTCTTTTCTATCCTCGCGAAGCTGAGCGCCCGGGCCATCCCTTGATGAAGTCTTGGGGCTGCGGCTTCTCGGTCGAAATCGACCGAAATCGCGGTCTTCCGCGCTTGGCTTCGGATTTGGGAAGGGAGGGGAGGGGAGGGGGGCGGACTTCGTCTTGGCTCCTGAGCTTTTGGGAGGCTTCCCAGTTTGGGTTTCCAAACTCAAAACACTTGGGAAAACACGGCCGATCCCACTCACAGGGTTGACTGGGATAAGAACTGACACATGGGAAAATAGCCTATTGACAGTTTACTTGGCACACTCAGGAACGAGATCCATTCTCCCTGGCCCTGGTAAATTTGGGCGAAGTACTAGAACCCCTTGAACTGGAAAGGAGGAATGGAATCGATCGGTTCACCCCCACATCAGCTTGCTGTAATGTGTGCAGTTTAATGCCAAATGTTGACTGTGGTTAGTCTCTGAATGACGAGGACCCTCCTCCAAAAAAAGAAGAAGAGGGTTTCTCTATCGTGCTCCTTCAAACAACTGCCCGAAAAGGGTACCCTTCAAAACAAAAACACAGCCAGTCTGACTCAAAAGTAGACCCTCAAAGGGTGCTGGAAGCCGAATGAGCTGAAGCACGCCTCGTGTTCACATCCTTCGCTTCGAAAGATGGTCAAAAAGGGGCCTGCCGTTGGGCCCAAGGAATGAGTGGGCCCCGTGAGAGTCATGAAGCCTTGCAACCATGAACCCCCACGCTGCTGGGAAAACCCCCGTTCTGAAGCCGGGAGCACCTCTTGGCCCCAATGAGAACCAGCAAGAACATGAATGCCTTACTCAACCGACATTTGAGATACGAAGCGGGCAATCGCTCTCTCACATGCGCGTCCTGATGTCCAATCTGCATACCTGAGACCCCCCGGCGCCATTCGCATAGCCGGCCTCGGCTTGCGTGCGGGCTCACACGGGACAGGAACAAACAACTCCGAAAGAGATCCAAATGCCAGACCCGTTGAGGGATAGCTTCGGCCGTGACGAAAAACACGTGGAAAGTTTTCGCCAACTCAACCAGCAAGTGCGTTTCCTCACGAGATCCCGCTTCTTGAAGCGTCTCCCTGGCCTTTGTGTGGCCCAAAAAGATCAAATGCAGCAAGCAATGCAGGCGATTTTGGGGCTGCAGCTTCAGAGAGGATCTCGAGTGTGCAAAACAGGTCAAAAGAAGGAAACCAGTCACCGCAGTGACCCGGTTTCGAAGGGTGGATTTCAGCCATTCTCGGGCTTCTAAGGTGGAACCTTGGATTTCTAAGGGTCGCAATAACCATTCTTTTCTGCTGTTTTCACCCGCTCTTGTTCCCGAGATTTGTTATTTGAAGAGAAGGATCTCGACGAGAAGGTGCGGTTGGTTGATGCAATCCAAGCCCATACCATGCAGCCTCTCCCCACCCGAACCTTGCGCGAAATGGCGCATGAAAAACTATTGAAAGGTTCGGCACGGTTTTCAAAGACCAACACACAAACAACCATGCCGGCAGACCATGAAACGCCTTCCGGCCGTCTTTCGCGTGCATGTATCATTTGGCCTGCCAAAGGGATAACACTGGCCATCACCGCCTCGCAGACTTTATCCAAAAAGCCGCCCCTCCACTCTTCCTTTTGCTTCGCCTACGGGTTCCGGGAGGAAAAAACAAAACACGCGTGTCTCTAAAATATCGACTCCCGCAACATGTGGTTCCGTTTCCCAGGTCCCGGGCCATTTCAGAGCGATGCCGCGATGATACACAAAATTGGTTGGTCTGAGCCAGGACTCAAGCGAATGGCCCCCAACCTAAAATGTGGGCTGATTCTGGTCCATATGCGCCTTTGTTTGAGGGACACGTTTGGGGAGTGCTTTAAAGGGAAACCAAAGGGATAACCAGATAACCAGCTAATCAGCATCTTGGTCCCTCCCAGGTTGAGACACCTTATATTCATTAAACCGTCAAATAAAGGCCCAGCTTTGGTGGACATGATTCACATGGGCCGTGCGTGAATGTTGCAATCACTAAAAGTCACAGCCATGTGGGTCGGTCGCAAAGCCAGCCACTTCGCCAGTTCCGAAGCATGTAGGTACCAGTTCGCATGAACATGGAGCCCCAACGAGGAATCTCCCTAAAGGAGATTTCCGCGGACCCTCTTTTTTGGGTCCCATGTCAATCTGCGGAGCACCCTCGTTCTACTAATCAAAGTGGACAGCTGCCAAGAGATGTCTTCGAAAATTCGATCGTCAGCTTCCATTGTTGGAAAGAAGGTAAGGTGCTGAGCAACAACGCATGAGTCAAGAGGTGAATTGGTTTGCACAATCTAACTATTTAGGCCCTCATAGCAAGCTGTCTTCCAAAACTCCATCGTCATCTTCCAGAAGGCAAGGGTGCTGAGAAGCTACAACCACGAGGCAAGCTATTTGGGTGTGAAGAGCTGGGGCAAACCGCAGTCTTTGGTTCCATTTACCAAGGGGGCCATTCTAGTCTCCATGTTTTTTGAGCCACAGCCCTATGGCAACAAGAAGTTGTTAGCGCGGTCCCCCTCTCTTTTTTTCCGCATACCTAGTATCCTTTTTTTCGGTCCCTTGGAACCCCGAATTCGGTCGGTCGCCGGCCAGCACCCATATAGAGCCTCATCGAAACACACGTTCCCTCCGACCGCAAAGTCGCGTGGTTTTTTTCCGCGTCCGCGCTTCGCTTCACGCCCACTGGAAGCGCCGAGATCTTGGCCTGGACCAAATAAAGTATGTCCCCAGTAGTGATAAATTCCTTTCAAAGCCAAGGGAGAAAAAAAGAATATTCTAAGCAAATGGAAGCCTCCGGCAAAGGAGCCGGAAAAAGAAAAAAGAAAAAGGCTCTTCGGTGCTTCCTAGGGGTTAGTAGAATCGAAGAGATCCTTGGAAGGCCGATTCTTCAATCCGGATAGGCGCAGCTAATACTCCTAGCGAGAACTGGGGTGCGAGCGTCCGAAAAAATTGATGAGCTTGGTATTCCAAGGGCCCGCAAAAACCGGGCCCTTCTTGATTCTGTTCTTGGTTGAAAAAGGGAAATCAGCCAAAGGCCTGATTTTTCAGGGTCCTGGAAGATCAAGGTGAGTTTCGAATCGCTGTTAGCAAGGGGATACCCACAATATTCTGCCAAATGGCGGCCATCCGCTCCCCGTCCCCCTCCCTAAGGATGGTTGGAATGATTGGAATGCTTGGTTTCGAAGAGAAGGTACCCCTTTTTCTGAAATGTATTCATTTCCTCTGAAAGACAAGTCACTTTAAGCAAACGAAGGTTCGACCTCTGCGCAATCGAGAATCAGCACTCGAAACCATTTGAGGTTCTTGTTTTTTCTGTGCAAAAGAACCTAAGGGACGCTCAATGGATCTAGGATGATTTCCACAGGAAAATCCACTTTGAGTAGGTTATATATACGCCATTTTCCTGATTGGTGAGTCCAACAGGAAAAACAGCAAGCTTACCTCTTGGAACTCGACCAAGGCTACACCTGTGTTCCCAGTAAGGACTGTCATGGATCCATCTTAAGGCAATCTCAAAGGACCTGCCCTCAGCATGCTACTTTGAAAGACAGGTCCCACCCCGTCCAACCAATGACATGTGTTTGCTGACAATGGAAGACACATCATATTCTGGTGACATGGACTCATCCTTCTCTTCAGAAACACAAGTCCCCGGGTTGTGGGCCATTTTCTGAAGAGAAGGACCCCTTCAAACAGAATGGGAACGTAGGGCTTTTGGATGGTCCGTCGCTTCCGATTCTTTCAACGGCGCCTGGCCGTTTTCCAACAACAGCTCCACCTCCACGGGCTTGCCCTCGAGGACCTCCTGAAGGCTAACGTCCAAAAGTGCAACGTTGGAAACCAGGCGTGATGGATGGAAAAAACACCACGCCAGGAACCAATTGGGTGTGTCTTTTTTAAGGTTGGACCACCAAAAGTGGTGGCGTTCCCTTCGGTTTCCCTTTATCACCACCAAAAAAAGGGAACCCTCCAAAAAAGACAGACCCAATTGGCAGCGGTACTCATAAGCAGGGCGCGAAGGCGAGGCCCTTTCAACGGCCAAAATGGGGTGCCTTTGCCCCATCTCATATGACCGGCGCGGTTTGTACGTAGGGCAAATGCTACAGAAATCGGGACTTACTAAGTACAAATTGGCTTCCCACCTGGAGTCTCCATGACCCTTAGAAAATGAAGGTCATTATCCAAAATAATGGGGTCATGACCCCGTTAAGGGTGGAGACTCCAGGAACTTGCTGAAAGGGATGGCTCGACTTGTTTGTGGAATCCCCGGTGTGTGGGACGGAAGCTTTCTAGGGTCCCCTCCTCTTTGTGGCAGCCCCTGATAACTCCTCTTGTTTTTGACAAGGAACCCAACAGGTGGTGTTCAACACCAAAAAAGACACGAAAGCCACCCTTTGAGCTCTCTGAACATGGGAAGACAAGCTGACGAGCCTTTGCCGTGTCGTCGGGCCTCCACAGCAACGGCACCGTTTATGCATCTCCGGGGCATGTCCAGGTCGGGGTGTCGGAGCTATGCTGATATACCCCAACCCCAGAGTGTAAGCCCCGGGCAAAAAAAAAAGACCATTGGAGAATATATATATATATATACATGTTCACGTCCTGCGACAAAGCTCCAACCCGCCGCAAGAAGACAAGAAGCAACAACAAGAGTTGCCCTCGTGAATAGCTGGGTGGGGGGCGAACCAGCAATACCCAAAGCCCGCAAAACGTGCATTTTAGTGGGTGATTCTGGGTTGGTTTAAACCCATGCTAGTAGAACCAAACGCCTAACCTCCATTCCTCCAAAACACCTACCTGAAAGTGCCCTTGAAACTCGCGCATCGTCTCCAAAGGATTGTCCCAAGGTGCAGCGTGAACATGGTACACAAATAGACAAAGGATACATATGGCTGTGGGTCAAAAACAGGTACCCAAAATGGGACTCTGGTAAATGGGACCAAAGCCTACACCTGCGGTCCCCTGGTGGCTGAATTTTGACCCACAGCCATGGCAAACCCACAAAACAAGGGATGAAGACGGTGCCACTGAACCTCATTTCTCGAGGTTGGCCCAAAAACGTCTGGACTTTTGCGACTAAAATTCGGTCTTCCCAAAAAGTTAGTTGAGGAACTCATTAAGCTAGGAGCAGGATACTTCCCCACCATTGCAAACATTTCAAGAATCGCTTCACACGGCAAGCCTCTATTGATCACTCCAAACTTCCATAGGCAAAACATGTCAACCAAAGTTCCCCGTCCCAGACATACTCCCGGTATGGCGCCTGGGTTGGAAACCTTTGTTGGTCCAAAAGGGTACCCCCCAAGTTCAAGTCTACCTTTGGGGTCGGGGCGAAATCAAAAGAAGACCTTCTCCTATGACTGAAATGGGTATCTGGTAGTACCCCAGTCTCCCATTCTTATTGCGCCTACCCGTGCGGTAGACTAAGGGGCAAAATATGAATTACACGCCTCATTCCCCAATCACAGAAGTTCTTCTCTGAAAGTACCCCAGTCTCCCATGATCATGTTTTGCGCCCCCTCTTTCTTCTCAAAAAATATATATCCTATGACTGAAAAATTGGTATCTCAAAGTACCCCAATCTCCCCTTATCATTTTTTGCGCCCCCCTCACAAAAAAATCCGGCACCCTGCTTCTGCCCCCGCCAAGCCGTCCGGAGAACTTCCGCCTCCAGAAGCTGCAGGGCCTGGCAGCAGCCGTTCTGCTCCGGGCCTCGCATGGTGCTTCTTCCCCCTGATCCTCCCAAGGTGTTTTGTTTTTTTTGGGTTCGAGAATTGGGGTGACCTGTCATTCGGTTTTTGGTTTCAGAACTTGTGTTTGTTTTGCGTGTTTTTTGGTTTTCGTTTATGTTGGTCTGAGTGGCGACAATGTATCTGATTCCAAAACCTGACTTCATGGATTCTCAAGTACAGGACCTGCTTCGCGGTGAGACGGGAAGGGAAGAAGAAGTACACGTGGAACCTGAAAGAGACTCCTGGAAGACAAGCTTCCAACAGGGAGCCTCTTTCAGGTTCCATATTTGTCGCCAGGGTCGAGTTCCTCAGCTTTCTGCGAAAAGAATCCTTGGGCCAAATGTTCGTGGCCAAGCTAAGTGGTAAGCCGCTGGCCTATTGGGGCACGAATGATAGGGTCGACTCCAGCAAGTGGGACTTTTTTGGGTAATAAAGAGAGTTGAGTGACCGCTCCCCATGCATTAGCAGAGACTTCTCGGTGCTTGAGAAAGAATGAAAAAAATGCCCTCAGCTACTAACAACTTGACGTCTCCACCACGACTGGTGCGAGTTGCTCAGGCTTGCTCTGCATGGGACGCAAGGGCACAGGAAAAAGAAGCGGCAGGGTGTTGCCAGCCTCGCACGGTGATCCTGCGGTTCGGAGACGAGGCACACAAATATGTTGTTCCTTCCAAAAATCCAAAAAACGGGGAGGGGTAGGGGGGTCATCTGAAACGAGCGACCACATGCCACATCCCCTGTTTTCACCACTGATATGTTTTATCAGATCATCTATGATGTTTTTTCAACAGACCAAGCCATTGCAAACCAAACAAGAATACGGGCAATGCGTCCAAAACAAGGCACGGTTGTTGCCTTTCATGAATAGCCGCTTGCCATTCCTCAACGACTGCCGGCAGACCTGACCGACGTTGAGGATCCAAAACGGGCGCACTCCGCGTGCATCGCTCCATTCCAAGAAGGCTCCAGCCGTGTTCACTTCCTACCCACTGGGGCACTTCGTCAGGGACGTAGTGTTGACTTCGAATTCATCAAACAACTATACCAATCAACTCCGGGAACTTCCCTTTGGGTTGGGAAGTTGGGGGTTTTCATTCAATTCGTGGGGTTCCCTTCAATGTGGTTTCAGCCTCCCGCCTCCGCAAACCAATCCGCAAGAGGGCCTCCGCATGAATCCAAGGACTCCCCAGGACTCCCAAGCGCCTGTGCTGATGCTGGTCTCGTTCACCTTGAACTCTGCCCACAACGCCACCCCGTGGCACCTCGGCTGCGGCGCCCGCCGGAGTAAGCGAGCCACGAAAGGCGCTTCGGCCGCGAAAGGCCAAAAGTTCGGCTGACGAGGGACTGCTAGGTCCTCCAGAGAGGATAGAATAAGGTCACCAACGTTTCTCCTTTTTTGTCTATTTTGGTAGGGGATTCCTCCCAGCCAAAAAAAAAGGTGAGAAAGGGCACCTAGCTGGGGGACCTTAACTGGGTTTGCTTTGTTGGGGGTACCCTTTTCAGGGTGGCTCAAAGGAAAACCACCGTTCGGGACCCCCATCCCCATTTTGACACATACCCGCCTTTTTTCGGGGGAATGCACACGGACCTCCAGTGAATATGGGCAAGGGGGGGGGGGGGGTACGGAAGTTTTGGGGCACCCTAAAGCGAGTTTCGATTGAGCCTTTGCATAAAACGAATCTAAACCAGTGCCATTTATTTCTTCCCCCTTGATTGATTCTGACCCCTTAAGAGTCAGGAGCACTTGAGGGGAATGTCTGAGAGGCTTGGTACCCTTTGACTAGTATTACCATCCTTGCCTTTTTGGGCTCGGCACAGCCCAACCGGAGTAGTTTAGCAGGAACCTAAGGACCGAGCAGCAGCGACATCAATTGGGTGTGTCTCGTTTGGAGTTGGGATCTGTGTTGGAGCTGGCTTAACAAGAAATTGAAGGGAACCGACCAATTCTCGGGGTTCCCCTATTTTGAGACAAACGCATTTGGGCGTATCCCGCAAAATTGGGGAGCACTACATGTTTCCGTGCCAACAATCACACGTTCCCTCCTAACTGGGGGAATATATGGGGTGCATTGTCCGGAGGGGGATATGTAGTAGCTCTCCTCCATTGGGCGACTCAGCCGACACACCCGGGCAAGAAAATAAAACTCCAAGTTTGCAGGGCAAACAAGGGAGGATGTATTCAACCACATGTTATGAAGCCATAGAGGTTGTTAGGTATCTCAGACATGGGTACGTCATGGTTGTATCCTTTTGGAAAGGTTTCAAAGGGAAACACTGAAAAAACAAAGCGTGACTTTCAGGATCCCCCACCAACCTTTTGAGACGCAAGCACATGAGACAATCCCATTGTGTTCTGGAACATGAGCTGCCGACAATAAGTCTACCACAATTGTTGACCGAACCTCATATGAGTGTGGGTGTCTTTTTCGAAGAACGCCCTGTTGGTTGTTTTGGGGTGACCCGTTTGTTCTGAAAAAACGGAAGCCAAAAAACAAATAACCATTTTCGGGAACAATGTTAATTTCGGATTCTATCCGGACCGTACTAATGAGGTGTTGTTCCCCTTGCAGGGGGCAAATGAACTATTCTAGGGGCTTCCTCTAGTAGGGTCCTGCAGATTCATCCGAAGCTTTAAACAAAATATGCGACGAACCTCAGCCGAAAACCGCTCGCCGGGCCTGCTCGAAGTGGGCTCCAACCTGTGCGGCAAGAGCGAGCAAGAACCCAAGAAGCGCAGCGCCAAGCAGAAGAAACTGGGCTGCCCGGTTTCTGATCCCCCGCCAAAAGTGGCTAGCTTTTAGTGGCCGAAATGGAAATCCACCCACTAAACACTAGAAGGCTAAAAAGCTAAAGGGGAAACAAACAAACAAAGAAACAAACAAACAAACAGGAGCAAAAAGACCAGCAGGGAAGCAAGCAAGCAAGCAAGCAAGCAAGCAAGCAAGCGAGCGAGCAGGCAGGCAGGCAGGCAGGCAAGCAAGCAGCCAAGCAAGCCGAGCAAGCCAAGCAACCAAGCAACCAAACCACAAGCAACCAGGCAACCAGGCAACCAAGCAAAGAACGAAACAAATAAACTAAGAAACAACAAACACCAACAAAAACTAACAAAACAAAGCAAAACAGACCAGAACAGAACAAACAAAACAAGCAAGCAAAACATCGTGTGCAAGTTTGCATAGAAGCAGCGGCCCCTTCAAACAACCCCCGTCACGGCGTCTAAAAAATTGGGCTCTGCGAAACCGGCCTGTGGAAAGGTGTCGTTTTTGTTTGGCCTCCATTGATTCTGAGGGTTGCGGTTTCAGACTGCTCCAACAAGTTGACCAAAATGTTCCGAAACAAATAGCCAAAATGTCATACACGGAGGGTCTATTCGTGAACATTCAGCGTGAGGATCCTCCAAAGGCTGGAGGACTGCGGCGGTCGACACTGCTTTGCCCAAATCAAGAGACGGGGATCAGAAGCATTTGGGCGACAGAGCCATGCAAACATGGGCAGCCTTCTCTTGGTTGACGTTGGAAGGGGAGCACAAAAAAAAGGCAGTTCAGTGGTTGGATTTCCACCACTAAACCACAATAAGCAAAAAACACAAAAAAGTTATCAATGTTTCCCAACAACCATGTTCTGTACCCCTCAACAACTCAAAGAAGGCCACCACTGGTCGACCGTAATGGGGAAATCGATCCACGGAAAGCCGCAAGCTCGGCCGTGCCTGCATGTTTGCTGAGTCGGAAATGGTCGCTCTCAAGACGCTCAAGGCTCGGTGCCAAAGAGCGGTCAACTCATTCCCTCCAGAGGTGGAACCAAATTTGAACCCCCGCAGAAATCAGAGCCTAAGTAGTGAAGCATGCTCACCTTGAGCTCATCTGGACCGCACACAAAGGAATTCAAGCGAAAAAAGAAACCTGAAACCATGTGGTGCCAACGTTTGTTGAAGTATAGTAGATTCCATGTATATGTAAATAGTCACATAGATCGAAGCGCCAGATTGATACATACGGCATCCGGCTATTGTGTTTCATATTAAGCAAGTAAAACGTCTATTTTAAATGGGAGACCCCAAAATGGTGTGGCTTTCTTCTGGTTTTCCTCATTTCCAACCCCAAAAAGGGAAAGGAGGCCCTTAAACACACACGCAAACACACACACACACACACACCAACAAACCAAAAAACAATTGACCAGCCTCCCCCCCCACCCCCCCGTTTCTCCCAAACCTAGCCCCGGCCTACAGCGGCCGGCCACGCTGCCGTCGGCCAGGCGCCGCGCCGCGTCTGAAGTGAGGCTCAGCAGCGGCTGAGGCCTCGGGCAAAGCTGGGCGAATAAGTGATTGAATGACTCAGCAAACTAATGAATGAATGAATGAATGAATGATGAATGAATGAATGAATGAATGAATGAATGATGAATGAATGAATGAATGAAATGAATGAATGAATGAATGAAATGAATGAATGAATGAATGAATGAATGAATGAATGAATGAATGAATGAATGAATGAATGAATGAATGAATGAATGAAATGAATGAATGAATGAATGATGAATGAATGAATTGAATGAATGAATGAATCAATGAATGAATGAATGAATGAATGAATTGAATGAAAATGAATGAATGAATGAATGAATGAATGAATGAATGAATGAATGAATTGAATGAATGAATGAATGAATGAATGAATGAATGAATGAGTGAATGAATGAATGAAATGAATGAATGAATGAAAAATGAAATGAATGAAATGAAATGAAATGAATGAATGAAATGAAATGAAATGAATGAATGAATGAATGAATGAATGAATGAATGAATGAATGAATGAATGAATGAATGAATGAATGAATGAATGAATGAATGAATGAATGAATGAATGAAAGGAAGGAAAATGAATGAATGAATGAATGAATGAAAATGAATGAATGAATGAATGAATGAATGAATGAATGAATGAATGAATGAATGAATTGAAAATGAAATGAATAAATGAATGGACATGAATGGACATGAATGGAAATGAATGGAAACGAATGGAAATGAATGGAAATTAATGGAAATGAATGGAAATGAATGGAAATGAATGGAAATGAAATGAAATGAAATGAAATGAAATGGAAATGGAAATGGAACTGGAACTGGAACTGGAACTGGAACTGGAACTGGAACTGGAACGGGAAAGGGAAAGGGAAAGGGAAAGGGAAAGGGAAAGGGAAAGGCAAAGGCAAAGGCAAAGGCAAAGGCAAAGGCAAAGGGAAAGGGAAAGGGAAAGGGAAAGGGAAAGGGAAAGGGAAAGGGAAAGGGAAAGGGAAAGGGAAAGGGAAAGGCAAAGGCAAAGGCAAAGGCAAAGGCAAAGGCAAAGGCAAAGGCAAAGGCAAAGGGAAAGGGAAAGGGAAAGGGAAAGGGAAAGGGAAAGGGAAAGGGAAAGGGAAAGGGAAAGGGAAAGGGAAAGGGAAAGGGAAAGGGAAAGGGAAAGGGAAAGGGAAAGGGAAAGGGAAAAGGAAAAGGAAAAGGAAAAGGAAAAGGAAAAGGAAAAGGAAAAGGAAAAGGAAAAGGAAAAGGAAAAGGAAAAGGAAAAGGAAAAGGAAAAGGAAAAGGAAAAGGAGGAAAAGGAAAAGGAAGAGGAAGGAAGAGGGAAGAGGAAGAGAGAGAAAGAGGAAAGAGGAAAGAGGAAAGAGGAAAGAGGAAAGAGGAAAGAGGAAAGAGGAAAGAGGAAAGAGGAAAGAGGAAAGAGGAAAGAGGAAAGAGGAAAGAGGAAAGGAAAGGAAATGAAATGAAATAGAAATGGAAATGGAAATGAAATGAAATGAAATGAATGAAATGAATGAATGAAGGAATGAAGGAATGAAGGAATAAAGGAATGAAGGAATGAATGAATGAATGAATGAATGAATGAATGAAGGAAGGAAGGAAGGAAGGAACGAAGGAACGAAGGAACGAAGGAATGAAGGAAGGAATGAAGGAAGGAATGAAGGAATGAAGAAATGAAGGAATGAAGGAATAAAGGAATAAAGGAATCAAGGAATCAAGGAATCAAGGAATCAAGGAATCAAGGAATCAAGGAATCAAGGAATCAAGGAATCAAGGAATCAAGGAATCAAGGAATCAAGGAATCAAGGAATCAAGGAATCAAGGAATCAAGGAATCAAGGAATCAAGGAATCAAGGAAGAATGAAGGAAGGAAGGAAGAAGAAGGAACGAAGGAATGAATGAAGGAATGAAGGGAATGAAGGAATGAAGGAATGGAATCAAGGAATCAAGGAATCAAGGAATCAAGGAATCAAGGAATCAAGGAATCAAGGAATCAAGGAATCAAGGAATCAAGGAATCAAGGAATCAAGGAATCAAGGAATCAAGGAATCAAGGAATCAAGGAATCAAGGAATCAAGGAATCAAGGAATGAAGGAATGAAGGAATGAAGGAATGAAGGAATGAAGGAATGAAGGAATGAAGGAATAAAGGAATGAAGGAATGAAGGAATGAAGGAAGGAAGGAAGGAAGGAAGGAAGGAAGGAAGGAACGAAGGAACGAAGGAACGAAGGAAGGAAGGAATGAATGAAGGAATGAAGCAATGAAGGAATGAAGGAATGAAGGAATGAAGGAATGAAGGAATGAAGGAATGAAGGAATGAAGGAATGAAGGAATGAAGGACACTGGGGGGTCTCTTCTTGGGTGTGTCGGTGTAAGGTTCCAAAATTGCTTCCACGAGAACGAGGCACGGCCCCATTCGACCGGTGAGAGTAGGTCGTAGCCCTTGTATTCCCTGTCTCCCTTTTTGAGTGTTGTCCTATTCGGTTTACCTTAACACCCCCTCACACCAACAGACTGATAACAGGCAATATGCCCAACAGCACGTCCCCGAAACCTCCGTGGAAATGTTGTGGAGGCCTCCTGGGAACATGGGTCACATGGTAAGCAGGGTTCGCCGGTACGCTCCCTCGGAACCCAGGTCTTCTTAAACGGGTCGCTTGATCAATACGGAGCGAGCGCGGCCCAAGGAGCAATCCGGATCACTTTCCGGGGGAGCTCCCCCACAGAACAAGTCCACCAGAGCCCGCTTAAATCCGCCAGCGTCTTTGTCAAAAAAAACCCAAAGAGGAAAAAACACATGCACCAGTCCGCGCTCGCGCCAAAAAAGGTGATGTTCCAACCAACCTGCGGATGGGTTCACCCCGGGCACGGTGGGCCAACGATCTCGACTTCCAGCCTGCAGAGCGGTCGCCAGGCGATCTCGTTCAGATGGCACCTGACGCTACGGCTTCGCGGGAAAAAACCCAACGGCACGTGGGGGGGCTGATCGAATCTTCCGTTTTACAGGCCCCCCAGTTTTTGGAGCATGGGTGTAACTTCTCCCCATTTGCAAAGGGCACTCTGGACGCTCAGAAGATGAACTGGGAAATGACTCCCCACATGTCTTTCTTCTTTGAAGCCGGAGCCTTCTACTAGAACCAACTTGGCGATGAGGCCAACCCATGTCTGCCAGATCTCAGCATGGCACTCCAGCAACGAGGGCCGCTCCGGAACCAGGTAGGGATTGGCCGC